TCCGGCCCACTCAGCATAGGCAAGAGAGTCAACACGCACAAATATGATATGTGGCATATTCCCATCGTTGACGTTTACAGCTCTCCACTGCAGGGCAAAGATTTGCTCACTGTTGCTTTTCAGACCTTCATTTTAGATGAAATGTTGCTCTGCACCTTTGTGGGCAGGTCAGCCAGACCTGGAAATTGCTCAGTCAGTCAAGCTGGTACATTGGTAATATGTATTTTGAAAGATTTTCTGAAGTACCTTGTAAATACATTGGTATAAGATTTAGTAATGTTAGTAATGGTTAGCATGATCATTACTAACAACACTAAATCATATACCAATGTATTAAGCTAGTACAAGTTAGTGTTGGGCGATATGCTCAATATTCATATCGTCCCATCGTCAGCCTGTGAGATTGCCGATACACGATATTATCGTGCTAATTTATGTAATTATTTACTTAGTTTCATTGCGAGAAACTGAACCATCTCCAGCTTAAGGCTAAAAGCAGCCTAATGTTTTTAATATGACTGAATTTGTATTTAACGATAAATTAATAGAAACATCGTAAGTTACTAATTATAATGCTTACATTTCCTCCGCTATTCAAAAAGCAGCTACAGAAAACGAGCAAAGAACATTACATTACCAAAGAACATCATCACAAGCTCAGTCTAGCGCGAGTTTATGCACTTTAAAAACACTCCCGTTAAAATCAGTGAATATACACTGTATGATGAATAAATCTCTTATACTTACATACATTGCACGTACTTCTGCACTTTGCTGTTTATGAGGAGAGTTCGTGAGTCAGAATTCAGTCAGCGCGCGCTGAACAACAGAACTCCACTGTTTCAGTGATGACTCATCTGAACGCCTCTGATTGCCCATTGCATTCATAAGCTCAGCATAATCTAAAAAAGTGTGATTGGTTAGAACGCGCAATACTGTAAAAACGCGGAAAAAGAAATATAATGCAACAAATAAGCCCTAATTTTAATTAGGTAGTATTTATTTGTCATTTTAACTGTTTGGAGATGGAGCATGAATGTGGAAGTCCTTCAAAGATTTCTTATCCTGTTGCGTCCTCTATAGCAGTGTTTCCCAACATTTTTTTAGTCGCGGCACCCTTTGGAAATTTTAACAAACTTGTGGCACCCTACAAAATTAATTTTGTCACAATATTTGAATTTCTAACTTCGATATGATAATTTGAAAAGTATAGATATTCGGTACAACAGGGAAGAACTGTAGAATATAATGTCATACAGATATTTTTAATATTATTTAAAAAGTTTGTCCATCAATGGTGGCAATCAGTAGGCTAATTTCTAATGAAGAGACCAATTTATATGACAGATTTTAATGTAGGCTTTTATACATATGTAAACATTATTTAATTACCATTGTAACTAGTCATCTCACAAATATTTGCTCACTCAGTGTTTTTTTTAATTTTACAGTGGGGTAATTTTGGTGCAGTAGCACGAGATAGCTTGATTTCAAACTTTGAATTGAATAAAAAATGACAAGTAAGCAGTCAGTAATAAAATAACAACAAATAAAGAAATTAATAATGATAGCACAAATAAAAAA